CCTGTTTCTGTTTGAAAATCTGCGTTTTCAAGTTAGTGTTGAAAGAAAAGCTGTGTTTTGTGTAGCGTGCGTGAACCACCAGTATGTTACAAGATGATGTGCCACGCAGAGGCCACATCATAACACACGCGTCACAGAACGAGCTCAGAAGATGATTACCTTTGGATCCAAGGGTGATGTTTTCGATAACATCAGGAAACGTGAAAGTCAACATGCAGTTAGCAACTCAAGCAAAGACACAACAACTATGACATCCACTTGAAAGCTGTCACGATAAAACCCACAAAGACAGGTAAACTTTGATATTTTGGTGCCTCTTACAAGGGGAATAGATAGCCTGTCGAAATGAACCATAAAGTTTGATTCTGAAGACACTGCTTGGTGGAAAAGATGCTCAGGTTTTTATCAGCAAGACATGATGACACATGTTTTTTGCAGTGTCATTTTTTCCATGTGGCATCTTTAGCCTCGACTCATCTCCCAACCCTTTGTGAAAAGGAAATGTAACATGAGCCTCTTCTTGTCGATTATCTAGGTATGCACGAATTACTCAGATTGTATCAGTGTTTTATTTTAAGACCACATGGGCACTCTTTGGAATTAGAATCATGTACAAGATGTAATTATCATAATGAGAGCACCGAGGCCATATAACGATCAGAAAAAGTAAATGTGTCAGGAAATTAATGAACCGATGAGTAGACAAATGAATGGAGCATTTAATGCAGAATATCCCTGTTGGGGCAGTATTTTCTAGGTGACAATAATAAATACACTCAAAGTTGTTCTCTAGTATGACGTTGACCAAAAAAAGCGAAGTTCTCCTAACTTAATACTAAAAGCGAGCCACCTCACCATCACAAACATACAATCGCTTGCAGCTACTTGTGCTCCATTCCCATCGTCTGCTGTTTTAAAATCTTAAAAATCGGAGGTTCATGCCTTGCATTTGACACCGTAAAGCTTCCATTGTATGTCTAAACGATATAAAAGTCAACACTGTTGTAAGGAAGTGACATACCTGCATATCTTTGAAAGTGTGGTGAAATGGTAAGAATAGACGAGGCCAAGGCCGACTGCGGCGGATTCCAGGCCAGACACATTGTCGCCATCTGGTTTTTCCGGTAAGCTGACAGAGAAGCTGAATTATGCATCCATCAGTCTGCCCGAATGCGCCGTGCGCCGGGCACTGACTGCGCTGCCAGCTTGTTATGGGCTCATTACAGGTGAAGATGACATGTTGAGGTGCAGTCGCCTTGGCATTGTCTACCTGCCCTGCCCTCCAGAGATAGCACCGTACTCTGTCACGCCCTGCGCCATACAGAAGGGGGGACCGTGATGGAGGAGAATGGAATGAGCCTCAATCTTGCCTTAACCCACCAAAATGAAATTGACAGACTCCCTCAAGTAATTGCACCCCACCCTATTTTCTTTGGCAGGAAATACTGTTATCGACAAATAGGGGATTCAATAAGCGACAGGAGATGAGGCTCTCGGCCGTGGTCAAAAGGCAGTGTTTGTGTGTGTGTGTGTGTGTGTGTGTGTGTGTGTGTGTGCCCACCAGTGTAGAAGTCTCATGATGCTTGCTCCGTATATCTCCCTGCCCTGCAAACACTTTCTTTGAATCTCCTTCTGACTGTTCTCTCTTTACTTTTCTCTCGGGGTCTTTTTTGTTTAAAGCTTCGGCTGACCGTTTTTCCTGTGCCTTCGGGGCACACCTCTATTTCCCAGTAGCCAGCGTCATTCTGCTCGGATTGTATTTCTGCCCCCCCGAGTGGCAGTGTAATGTTGATATGGTCCCAGGACTCAGATGTGGGACAGGGTTGTGAAAGGGTGGTTTACGGTCAGTGTTTTGTTTCCAGAGGTCAGACAGAGGCTGTGATGAAGCCCAGGCCTCAAAGATGAAAAGATAGGTCATGAAAAAGTGATGGAAAATGTTAACTTTTCAGGTTCTGGTGTGTCGTTGTGGAAGTAGCGATATCCAGCAATGTACTGGATATGGAGTGCTGAATCAATATCTTTCAAGATCTCTCGGTTCAAATCCACATAAATGATTTGTTTGGGCAAGACTATTTATTTTTAAGGCTATTCCTTCAATAAAACTGAGGTTGGATCTGCATTTGTCTTTAGAAGTCAGTTGTTGATGTTGTGGCAGCAATGTTCTGGCCTTTAGTCCTCTACCAAAGGTTGTTGTTTTTTTGGTGGAGTTGAATATTTGACTCATTTTCAACTTTTCTTGCTTCCATTGCGCGTATCATGAGTGTTTTGGATTGGAGTGATTGGATCTCCTAAACTGCACACTCAGGTGGAAACGGGCCTTTGAAAATGAATATGAAAAGAACTGTTTGTTTAAGGCAGCACGTCCAAACATTTAAAAACATCATGCACCCATTTCAACTGTGTTGTGGTACCCACTCCACCGTTCCTCTGCTTCCCAGTCCAACATGTATCTCGTGTTCCAATTTGAACCACTACATTGGCGTTTTGTATAGTTTCATGAAATTAGCTGCCGGGGCAAAGCGTCATAGGAGACAGGATGGCTGGCAATGGCAAAAGAGGAAGAAAAGTTGCATTTTAGTGGTAAATGTGACTTTAGTTACTACGATTGACTGGGTACCAGTGTCAGCATATTCCTCACATTTTGCTGAAAGTTAGCTGGGATAGGCCAGCTCATATGTGAGACTAATTCATTTGGTCAGGTGCGAAAGAAAATCGATGGATAGATTATCGTGTTTTTGTGGGGGGAAAAAAACAAAAAGTAGAATTAGTTTCACATTTTTCACATTTTGAAGGTGTGGCAGAGAAGACTTCGGGGGGACTACTTTGAGGGGCAAAATGTGTAGTTTGGATTTGAAATTTAGTGACATCAGTCCTGGTTGAAATTGTCTGATGTGCCTCATCTTTAACATTAAAAAGGATCCATGTTATGTTCTATACATTGTTTTGCCCTTCTGCAACATTTAACATTTTAGAATTAATTAGCGTGACAAAGGATGAAATTTAACCTCATCATTTTTCATCAAATCACACATTTTCCAAAAATGTCATACTCGCCCAAGTATCTCGCAGCTTTGTGTACTTCCCTATTCCCGCTAATTAATTATTTGAAGATGACATTTCACAAAAAACTGAAGGTTTTCTTATCTGAATACAATTACCCCACCTTGCAGTGTTTTTTTTTTTTTTTTTTTATTAGTTTTCACGTCGCTGATGGTCTAGTGGTACAGTCGCCTGACCTGTGTGCAGGCAGTGTGGGATCGCTTCCCACTCAGTGGATGTGTGTGCGTGTGTGTGTGTGTGTGTGTGCGTGTGTGCGTGTGTGCGTGCGTGCGTGCGTGCGTGCGGGCGGGCGGGCTTGGGTGTGTGTGTGTTGGTGTGTGTGTGTGTGTGAATGATTGTTTGTGTCTATATGTGCCTTGCAACTGACTGGCGACCAATTTAGGGTGTTGTCTGCCTTTCGCCCGAAGCCAGCTGGGATAGGCTCTAACAACTCCCCGCGAGTGTAAGCGAGACATTTTATTTTGCTTCTTGACGGAATGTCCAACCATCATTGATTTAAAAATAAATGTTAAAGGAACCGACAATGGACATGTAAGACTCAACTGACCCCATTTGAAGTCTGTCCCTTACAAAAGTGACAAAAGCAACAAAAGCAAAACAGATAACACATCTCTAGTTTTACTTCAGTTTGTCTGGCCAGTGTAAATGATTGTGTGTCCAAGTTCATGTTTATTCTGTTCCAGCATGCCTCAATTCTTGATATTTTTTTTCTTTATTTCTCTATGATGATTCTTCCTGCTTCTTTTTTTTTCCAAACTCATATTTTATTTGATTCCAAATTGGCAAGTGCCCTAGATGACCTCATCAAGAGTTGATACAATCACAAAATGAATGCCGCTGACAACTATTTGCGGGAATAATGGAATCAATTATTTTGCCTATCCCTATTCACTTTGCCCAATGTTTTCTTCAGTGTCATATAATACAACTTCTGTGATTCATTTAACATGCAGTGCTTATCAATGTGGATGAAGGTTGAATTCAGCTTTTGTGTTGTACCTCCTATAAGCTTTTCAACTTCATCTGTTCTAGTTTGTTGCACATAATAAAATGAGCCCAGATTCCCAAGGTAGACCAGTGTTCTCTGACCCTTCCTGGAGAGAGCCACTGCGCTACACGTTTAGTTTGCTTTTTATTGATTTGGACCCCATAATTACTGCACCTACTTTTTCCTCCTCTCCCCGGGTGACAAGAAGACCTCCTATTTTTCTGAGTGCAGCACATTTTTTTTTTTTTTTTTTTTTGCTTTTACTGACATTGAGCTACTTTGCTGTCATAGGACGATGATGAAGGTCTCTTTTCATGATGTATCTTATGGACTCAGATCACTGGAGTAAATAGCTACAGTTGTATTGTTTTTCACAATCTAAGACTGCTTCTGGCTTCTGCTTTCAGAAAAAAAACAAGTGATTTCTTAAACGTGATTGTGCTCTGCAGGAGAACAGGCTGTATGCTTTAGCCCAAATAAATGAGCAATCTCACTACCTGGAAAAGTGCCTATTAGCACAGGTGACTTTGTTGGAAAACCAGCAGTTTGGGGATCAACACAGAGCATGTGATTTTGCTGAGCAGCCGTGTTCCAAGCATATCTAATGATGTTTTTTGTTTCTGCTTGGTACTTTGACTCAACTTCCTTTTGAATGTGACTAAGGATGTGACTTGAAGGTAGTTTGTAGCCCCCGAGGGAGGGAGGGAGTGAGGGAGTGAGTGAGTGAGTGTGAGAGAGAGAATCAGCCAGTACAGTAGTTTAGAACTAAACATAATTAAGAGTTTTCGGAGAGAATTTTTATATGTTATGTTCAAAAGCCTTTATAACCAAGCATCATGTGTCCCAACGACTCACACGTCCTTCAAATGGCCTGAAAATAAAACTAAAAGACTTAAGGTCTTGGGGTTTCTTTTACGGCGCCATCATGTGAACTTATGTGTTTTGCTTCCAGGGAGGACTGAGGAACAGCAAGCATGAATGCACGCTCTCATCCCAGGAATATGTCCATGAGCTACGTTCTGGTATCACAGAGGAAAAGCTGCTCAATTGCCTGGAGTCGCTTCGGGTTTCTCTCACCAGTAATCCCGTCAGGTTAGTCCCTCACATTTGTCTTGGTATTTGTTCTGCATGTCTAAAACATGACGTTAAAGACACATCTTTGGATGAAATATGTCTCTAAAGTTCTAAACACCATGGTGCATGATGCCACACAAGACTTCTTCAAATTTCCCAAGATTCAAGCCTTTTGGCCGTGGTGCATCTTGGGTTTTGGGTTTTGCCGTGTTGGGTTTTAAAAAGAGGTGGTGTTTAAAAGTACTAAGGTATTCTATTTAACTTATATTATTTCAGGTCAAAAGCATGACTTTGCCACCGTTTTCCACTTTGTGGATGTGGCTTCGTCAGTCCGCGCTTCCATTAGAACCATGAATAAAATAAGATGGTTATGATTTTGCTCCTAAGCCACTCATTTATTCAAGGATATTCCACATGCTCTTAACTGCTGTGCAGCAAGTCATTAAGTGTATTGTAATGACAGGTATGTTTGTCATATCTGGAAATGTACCCTCTCCCGTTCCTCATTAATATATTTCAAAACAGATATGATAATGCCACCATTTGTTTCTAGCCCAACTCCAAGTCTCATTACACTCACTGACTGTGTTTTGAAAATAACTTTGCTTCCTGTTAGCAAATGCCCCCCGCCCCAATGAATCGGTCCCTCAATTTTATTTCTGTTCCCACTACCGCAGGGAAATGCTCTTATTTTACGAGCCAACTGCTGAAGACGGTGTGTGAATCAATGATGGACACGTGAAGTAAATGATCAATGGTGTGAGTCGAGTACAACAAAAGCCGGTTGAGGCACGGTGTTCCCAGAGGGACAACTACATTATCTTAATGTTTGCACCAGTCAACCGTACGACTCCTGTTGAATTAATAGGAACAAAGACCCAACAGTGACGTGTTCTCATTGAAAACCATTTGCTTTAATAACACAAGCACACCACCTATTAACTATCTGTGTCGGCATATGTAATTAAAATGTGTTATTGTGTTCTACACTCACTTTCACTACTTTTCAGGTACTAACGGTGAAGATTCATTAGTGTTCCGGCTACCATTCCTGCCTTCTCAACCAAGAAATTGAGATGGGATATACTTGAGTTGTAGTTATTATAGTCAACGCCCACTTACATGTGAAGCGTGACTTAATTTAAATAAAACACCTCCAAACCCTCGGTGGTGCATATGCAAGGGAGCCCCCCAACAGCCCTTACACCCCTCCCCCCAAACTGAAATTATTCTCAACAGGATGCGCTTTTAATATATTTTATTGTGAAAACCTAATTAACCCCTTTGAATGTCAGGAGGACAATGAAGTCAAACCCCTTTGGCCTCGTGCCTCATGGGGAATTTCAGTCAGCGTTCCCGCTCGGAAAAGGCCAGCTAGCTGCTGCTGAATGAATGTACTACGTGAGGCCGAGCTTTTCCTGTGGGTGTTTTCCAATGACCCGCAAGCATGTAAGGGGCACCGTGATTTATGAAGGGATCACCTCCTGTGGCGAGGCAGGTCCACAGGGTTCTTGAGGGCATCGGAGAGATTATTCATATATCCCCACTGGAGATTTGACTCCTCATACAACTACTGGAGTTTCATCTGTGTAAAATCATAATGAATGTACTGTAAACACCAGCAAGATGGCCTACTGGTTAACATGTATGGTATTTGTGGTGTTGAGGGCTCTCGCTCATGAATCTTTTGGGAACCAATTGTTCTCACAATCCATCGAATACTCAGGTAAAAATACGATGTTTTGTCCACATTACTCAAAACAATATTTTCTTTTTACACACTCTCTTGATCACTGCTTAGCGATGTTTTGATAAACGGGCTGGGCGATGTAACTTCATCGTATCGAAATAGAGATGTGAACCTTCAAGAAATTAATATCGAAGGGAGCACGATACCAGCGATATCACCTGATCTTGCCGCACCTGTGTTGCATTCAAAAATCTCTGTTCAATCAACCACATTCCTCCTTCCAAGTTTGGTTTTGATCGACAGCAGATGACAATCACCTAGCGGAGGGTGAGAGGGAAGAGGGACACAGGCAGGCACTGATTTTCAGAGCAAACACAGAAATCCACTTCTGTGTTTGCTGTCAAGTATACACAGACGGTACATGTAGATTGTCTTTTAGAACATTACGTGACCATATTTATAATTTCAAAATTACCAGTGGCTAAAATAGCAGAGCTTGTTGGAAAAATGTGCGAACAGCCTGCGGCTCCCGGGTCTATTCAATTGAATGCACCGGTGGGGTGCTATTCTATTTCGGTCGCAATGCTCGTCTTCGTTGACTGCCACCATCTTTTTGTGGATTAATAAAAAGTCATATCATGTAACATATTGTAAGGGGACCCTCAAAACACGATCCAAGCATAGTTCATATCACTGGGAGTCCACACATCACATCGCCAAGTAATGCATCAATGCATACACAATCATCGTCATGTGTGGGGGTGAGTGATTTTTTTTTTTTTTCTTACCCCCCAAGCCACACAAAACTTCCATCCACTTTCTGAACCACTTATCTTTACTGGACAAATTGTTACATAACCACACACATGCAGTTAACGCACGTACGCATGCAAACACAATAATCATTTAAAAAAAATAAAAATGTTATTTGTCACGAAGTACAAAGTGAATTTAACTATTTTTAATTTATTGCTGACTTTGTTAATGTTGATGGCTGTCAGTAACTTCTAAAAACAACCAAAAATAACCTATACTTTGCACATCCTTTTGGATAGATTTTTTTTTTTTTAAAAATGCTTTATTTTCACTGTACCTACCCATGGTAATAGTGTTATCAAGATATCTGCCACAAATAATGAGCAATTGCATTTTTGCCATATCGTGCAGCCAGAGATGCAGGTAGCTATCTATGCTAAAATACATTAGCTGGACAAGCTTCATCTTGCACCAAGACAAGTTAAACAGGGCATGATGATTTTGTGGAAGATGCTTTGCTCCAGTTAAGTCCTGATTGGATGTACCGAGACAAAGCTTAACTTTTTCAGTGGCAGTGCTGTTTTACTCCAAAAGTACCATCCTGTGCGCTACACTTTGTGAAAGGCGTGAAACGGGCACTCACACAAAGCATAATTTGCAAAATGAGTACATTAGAAATGGCCGTTTGCGCAGTTGTGGCACTGAACCCAGCCAAGTTGATGCTTGGCCAATCGAAGCAACTCCGCTCATTCCCTTTAAATTTAGTGCAGCTGATGCACACGGTCTACATGGCGGAGGCCGAATGGACTCACTGGAGTATGTGTGATGATTGGCACATGCAAAGTACACACCCACCCACACACACACACACACACACACACACACACGCACACACACACACACACACACACACACACACACACACATATATAGATGGATGGATTATACTAAGCACGGGCTAACTGATTAATTGGCCGGCCGATTAAAACAGCACAATGTGGTCCTTCAAACATCGGCCAAAATAATTGTCCAAATGGCTGATGTTTGCCGATTTTTATTTATTTATTTATTTTACATTAACATAGAGCGCCCAGGGGGGCGCGAGGCTCCGTCAAGGGGGGCGCGTTTGACCTCGGGGAACATGCTTTTTTATTTTTATTTTTATTTTTATTTTTTTTTTTACTGTCCTAGAATAAAGTGCAATTGCACCTCCACTACATTAGGGGGCAGTGGCGCTCTCATTGGCAGCGTCTGCAGAGGGAGCATTCCCTCCGTGTTTTGTTTGCACTGAGCATGCTCGCTTTTGCACACAGCACAGAGTATGAGTAGACACGAAGTCGACAGGCGGAGAGAGATGGAGATAAGAGACTCCCGAAAGTTAAGACGAGGAAATATGACGAAGCGTATGCAGCGCTTGGCTTCACTGTGACTACTGTGGGAGACGAGGAAAGACCGGTGTCTAATTACTGTGTCTAAAAATGTTGGCAGCGGACAGCTGAAAGCCAAATAAATTAAGGTGTCACTTAAAGACATTACACCCCAATTATGCTGATAAGCCACTTGAGTTTTTTTCAGTGAAAATGTGCCCAATATTTCCATCAATCATCCCGCTTTGTGACTGCTACTCGTAGCCATTATTACAGACATCATCTTTTATCAAAAAAAATCAGCACAAATTATTTTATATATTTTTGTTTTGCTGGTTAAAGTTTTTTTTTAATATTGTGCTCCTGAGATAATGTTGGTGATTAGTTTGAATGCATTATTAGTTATTGATTATATGTAATTGCATTTTTTAGTTTTGTATGGTTTGACATGGTCAGTCAAAAAATATTTATAGTTAAATTAAGGATTTAATTTTATTTTTGAATTTCAGATGCACTTTCAATCTTTTCTGTTAGTTACTAAAGCTATTCTTTGTTCTAAGTTGGTCCGTATTTCTTTCTTTTTTATTCTCTTATATGTTAAGGATACAGTGTTATGCAAAGGTGCACTTATAACAATTTTATAGACAAATGATAGTTTTTATAGTCGTGCGTTGAGATTTTTTCCTCTTCCTAGGGGGGGGGGGGGCATGACAGAAAATAATTGAGAACCACTGCTGTAATCTAACCATTCACAGCAGTCGTCCACAAGTAACACTGGTCTCATCATTTAATTTCCATAAATCTATCCCGAACCTTCTTTTCCATAAATTATGTATATAATGACATTTTTTGATAAGGTCATTCTATAGAGCTGTCATTTAAAACAGGCCAGCAATGCTTCGATGAGCAATGCAAGTTGTAATTGACCTGAATGTCACTGTTTTACACGGCAAGTAAGGCTACAGTTTGTTTAATAAATAAATAAATACATAAATACGTAGTAAATGTGATAAATCATTCAACGTCTGGTAACTCAAACACACATATGACAAGTATTAATGACCTCATAATTTCATTAATAAATGCATTGCACCACCCGAACAATTGACGCCCATTGAAATGCCGTGGGGGGTTCTCATTTTATGCATTATGTGAACTGTGTCGATGCTATATTAAATAACTTATGGGGGGGGGGGGCGCTGTAG